CCCCCCACAACAAACAAACATGAGCTGTTAATGTTTTGGCGTGTTTATGGTCTTCACTATGGCGTGCACTATTTTAAAACTCAGTGGACGTTTCAGGGTGATACAATTAATGAACCTATGTTTTCTTTTATAATCCTTTTAAGAGACAGACGAGGGTTTCATTTGAAAGCTCTGAAATTCGTTCCAAAATAACTGTAAGTGTTGTCCTTTATCATTCAACCTTTGAGAAAATTCATATTATCATTTAGTAGGCTGGACTTTTAGTACAATGTGAATGAGGTGTGATCTAGACTGAATTAAGTAAGATACAGTGTAAGTGCGTACAGACACAAATAAGAAAGCGGGTGGTTGGAGGGTGCCACGGGTAGATCCTACTTTTTTACTTTCACTTTTGTTGTTTTTGTCTGTCTGTCTTACTTTTTCCCAGCACTATAATATGGCCATTATTGTGTTATGTGCTTCTCTTAACTCAAACAAACAAACAAACAAAACAAACAAACAAACAAACAAAAAAGCAAGTAATAAGAACTTCCCCACACAGGAATCGAACTGACATCTAATACATGCTGCGGTCAACAGCATAGCCAGTTAACCATAGGCGTCTAGTTACAATGTCAACAATAGTGAGTCAATAGCGACCCTCCACTCACTGCGCTGCAGTGTTGCATTTCAAGGGGATTCCCTTGGACGAATAATCGAAGTGTCAAGCTACAGTTTGTCAATATTTACTCAGGATTTCATTTTACGCTACAGATTATAAATGATACCCCAACCCCGAATAAATTGTTCTTTTCAGTTCAATGCTTGGCTTTTACACGTAATACCACGTGAATTAGATATGACGCAAATAAGCACGGCGTCAGCAAACGATTTTAAAAAATTGCATTCCGCCAAGTCAACCAAGAAACACTAAATTTCCCAGTGACTGTGAATGACAACATGCCGGACATACTACAAACAACCTTATTTTTAGGTGAAAGCTTTTTGTATAAAAAAGGGTGTGGATGGTCTTTTCAAATAAGATAGAGTTAAGTCTTTT